AGTTTTGTTAGAATGGAAACAAGTAAACATTTTAAATCTTGTGAATTTCATCGTGACAAAGTTTAATTCTTATCAAAATAAATACTATGAAAAATCCCATTCTGGATTTCAGTTATCTAACCCATGCAGAGTGGTGGAGAGCAATTTAGCAAATCTTAATTGCATGATGCAAAGCCCTGAACGCAATCTGCAGCGCTGATCAACTCAAACCACCGGTGCCGCAAGGTGTTAAAAAGTGCACATTTGTCAAAGGTCTTATCGGCCGGCATTCCGCCGGCAAAATCCGAGCCACCTGGCCGGATCCCCAGTGCCATTGTGGCCGTTTCGTTACGGGTTATCTCCGGTGTCATCATTAACCGCAATCAGCGAGCATTTTATGCCAAATGACAGCCACAATACAAAATGCTTTATGCCTTGTGTGCATACCTAAATATTACCAGGGGAATTAACAGCAACCAGAACAACAGCTAACGGAATGATAGGGGAAAAAAGAAAAACTTTTATTTAATCTGTTGATCTGCTCGTGTGACAGCCCAGCTCCAAAGGAGTCCGGGAAGTTTTTTCCCACTTTCACACAACTTTTCTGGTGAAATTTTGAGACAGCTTTGAGATTTTTCCACACAAGCCTCCGAAACAAGAAAAAAGAAGTCACAAGTAAGCGGGGGAAAAACGTAAAAGTTTATGATATTTATGGGATATGACAAGGTTTATACCCATTAGGAAGAATTAGAAAAAGTGCATACTGAGTGTCAAAGCCGGATTAGAGCTTAGAGTTTAGTCAAAAGTAAAAGTTAGAAATACTAATCCAGAATAAAAACTGTTTTAATTTCCAAAGGTTGCCTTAATTTTTTTAAGTAAAAAATGCTATATGGCAAGCATTATGGAAGTGTAATTAATAATTTTAAGCTTGGTAGTACTCTCTAAAGATAAGAAAACAAAGGATGCATAAATATTAAAAAGTCAAAAATCAGAAATAATTGTCATAAGGACTTAGATTTTGACAATTTTTTCAAATATTTTTATTCAAATATAAAACCAAAAGGATACTGAAAACATTTGCGAAATTAAGAGACAAGCAACCAAAAATGACAAGGAAAAAAGGAAGTTTTTGAAGTCAATATATAAAATAGACGCAAATCAAAGAGTTTTAACGACTTTGAAAGTTTTAAAAAATTGACCTTACCAAGTTCCAGTTAGCCCTTGTTTCAGAGGGTATTTTTTGAGGGCACTCTCAGTTTCTGTTACGGGTTGCAAAGTGCGCCAAAGGCTTTAGACGGTTTCGGGATCCTGTCTCCGCTCACCTTTCTGCCGGCGCCTTTCCACGCGCATTAGGACCCGGCTTGGAAAGTTGTCGGAGAGGAAAAACAGCCAGCGGCGGACGGAAAACTTTTTAGGGCTTGCTGCGAGAAACCTACGCGGCGTGTTAAAATCTTATCAACAAATGCAGGCTGCTGTGTGTGTGTGTAGGTGTAGGTGGCCGTAATGTGTGTCTGTGGGCTGGTGGGAAATTAAAAGGAAAATGCGTTAATCATGGGCAACAAGGAGCGGAGTTTTCCTGCACAACAGAAATTTAATTTGCGTTAAACGAGCGCACGCCGCTGATTAAAGGCGATGAGGCAGCTGCTCCCATCCCGAGGTCCTCTTCGAATCCTGCCGCGCCTAATTTTATGCAACAAAAACTTTTACACGCGTCGTCGCCTCACCAGTGTGAAAATCCTGCGTGCCAACGGGTATGTGTGTGTGTGATTGTGTGTGTTTCGAGAAAGGTAACTTTTTTGGGGGCCAAAGTTCGCTAGCAACTTCCAGGCTCGGTGCCCAATTCCAAACAAAAGGCCAAATGAGCATTCGAGGATACGCACTTAATCCGGGATGACAGGCTCACGTAACGACAGGCAACAAGCGAGAGATAAGCAAACTGCAAGTTTCCCAGCTAAACCTTTTCTCTAACGGCTTACAGTGGAGTAGGAAATGATGAAAGATTGTAGCCACTGTGCTATGTGAAAGGAATTTGAATGAATTAAGCCACGAACTGTACAGCTCTTTAATCTAGCCACCGATTTTGGAACTTAAAATTTTCTTAACAAACCTAATACTATCTGTTGAAAATTTGATAATCGATAGCACTTCCCAAAATTGACAATTTACAAACACAGCGTTAAGGAAGCTTTAATTTATTATATAACGCATTTAATATGTAATTCTTAATTTTTTATTTCAAAACAAAAATTGATCCAGTAAATTTAAATCACCTAATCGTACATCTAAACAAATCTCAGCTGCCATCAAATGATTTGGAGTTCCCGTAGGCAATTGGTTTACCATTTTCCGCCCTTCCAACTGCACATATGAAAACCTGGCTGAAAATTCTTCTATTTACACTGCACTGCAATGGTTTAATGCCAACGGATTTGAATGCAACTTCCTGTCGGGGAGGTTTCTATTTTGGTTTTAATTTGGTGACACCGCCTCTGCTCTGCCATTTTGCGGAATTTTTTGTTCATTGCCTTTATTTCAAATGTGATGAGGTTTTTGGGCTGTTAACTCGGGGCAACTTCACCTGTTCCACCTGCAGTTTTTGCACCCTTTTATGGCAAGGCGACAAAGCCGGCGACGGGGCACATACATATTATTTACACTTTTTTAACGCGCAACGTTGCGTCACGTTGAGTTTTTCAGATTTTCAGTTTGCAACGCATTTGCGCCTCACATTTTATGAATTCATTTCCGTTCATTTACGCCTGATGTGTCAGCTGGAGCGGTGGAAAGCGGCAGTTAGCGGAGGCTGTAATTAAGTTAAACTGTCTGCCTGGCAGAGGGTCGCACCCTCTAAAAAGGGTTCAAAGTGGGGGAGTCGAGTGCTGCCTGTTCTGGAGGACTTTAGGCCAGATCAGACCCTCAAATGGGATAGGCTGCACTTAAGATAAGTACTGCATACGTGGTAAAGTCAATTTCGAACTCCAAATGGGTTTAACACACACAAGGTCGACACGGGGATGGGGGGAAAAAATAAAACACATTAGGCCAATACACAAGTCACAGAGATTTCTCATCTTAATCTTCGCTGGAAATGATGCTCATTAAAAGAAAGCCATTTCAGGAATTGCTAATCCTACCCTGCCACCTTTGGGCCGTCGTCTAATTCGCTTCAAAAGCAAACGCAAGACAAAGTGCTTTTTTAATTTATAACTTAATTTGGAAGCCATGAGATATATAAAAATGGATTGCGGGCATGTCACGATTAAAACAAGCCGAGCAGCACGAAAGCGCCTTAAGCTGTATGCACACACATGTCCGTTTATGTGCATTAGGGTGGTTCGGTAGGAAATATACTTCAATTTTAGTCAGCTAAATATTAAAGTTTCTAAATTAAGTACTCAATTTAAAATAATGTTTCTAAACAAAATATCAAACTATTAGTAGAAAAACTTATATTTTTAAAGGGTGCTAGTTTTTTTTAAATAAAATTTTTAAATATTTGCTTTGTTTTTCAATAAAGATCTATAATTACTAGCTTGTAAATATAATATTTTTTATTCATAAATTTTTATTCCTTTCCTTAATTTGTTCTGGGTTTTTTTACGGTTCAGCCCCAATGTTTCTCTTTTAAAATCAGACTTTTCAAAGTTGTTGGCTTATAAAGAATGTAAAACAGAGCGAGGCGCACCCTATTCTGTGTCTATGTGAACCGTATATAGTCACAACACAATGAGCGACATCAGACTTGAGGCGCTATAACGAAAATGGCAAGTAATCCGCAAGGGGCGCGGCAATGGAACCTCGGCAACCGCACGAGATGGGGAATGGCGGAGAATCGCGTCACACATGCGCCGTATTAACCCATCGTTGTGTGTGTGGGTGGTGTGCGGTGGCTGTGTGTAGTGCGGCGAACAGAATATTATTAATTTCTTTAACACGCTTTCCGCGCCATCCCGCCACAACAATGTAGAATGGGGGTATGTTATTAAAAAGGAGCGACCCTATTTGTGTCTATGTGAACCGTATATAGTCACAAACACAATGAGCGACATCAGACTTGAGGCGCTATAACGAAAAATGGCAAGTAATCCGCAAAGGGGCGCGGCAATGGAACCTCGGCAAACCGCACGAGATGGGGAAAATGGCGAGAGGAAATCGCGTCACACATGCGCCAGTATTAAACCCATCGTCTGTGTGTGTGGGTGTGTGTGCGAGTGGCTGTGTGTGTGAGTGCGGCGAACAGAATATTAATTAATTTCTTTAACACGCTTTCCGCGCCATCCACGCCACAACAATGAATGAGACAATGCGCGGGTGATGTAGCAGCTCCTAGAATTATGCTATAAATATTTAACTTGCCATATTAATGAGAAGCCGGAGACGAGTAAGAAAAGACGAAACGACGAAATGACGAAAAGGACGCCGTGTTAATGAATTTCAATATGGCGTCGGCCTGCTGTATGTGTGTGTGAGTGTATTTTTGCCTTTGAGTGCGGTGGCTGACGCCTTGCAAGATCCTTGAAATCCTTGCACTTGATGGCTGTTAATTAAAAGACGCTTAGAAAAGTTGTCACCGCGCAGAGTGACAAAATGCGTTGCGAAGCTGGCACTTGGCAACTTTTAAGTGGCATCAGGTTCTTATGCATTTCAAATGGAAATCTTATCGCCACCCCTCGAAAAAGACGAACACAAAAGCTCCCCTCCGTGGCCATTCAGGCACCTACTCGAATTATAAGAGTTCACTTTTGTTGGCAAACCGGTTCGCAGCCATGAGATACAACTTACATGTTCGCCGTCGTCGAGAAAGTTGGCGAAACAAAAAAGAATCATCTTAAAAGTTGTGTCAGTCATTTCAATTGGTGCCTGGAGAGTTTTCCGCCATTAAAGCGCAAACATGCGTGTTGACACATTCCTTTTGTGTATTCCGACCATTGGGAATCGCATAAATATAAGCGTATTTATTCATTCATGCCTTTTTCGAGACAGAAATTCTTTGTGGAATGCCAAGGTTGTGATTTCAAAATTCCAAATTCAGCATTGACTTTGCCGTTAGGCTTATAATTTCTTACTTTTTACTTTTTTCGGTATGAATTTTCTGACAAAGGTTCGTCATTACTGGAAGAACAAAGTGCGCAAGCTTCGACCAAGAGATCCACTACAAACAGCGAATCAGGAATTGGAGCAGTCCTCATCTGAGATATACGCTCATCCCACGGATGCTTTTCACTCGCTAAAACGGGATTTCGACACCGAATCGGAGGATGTCAGATCATTGATGCAATGCTGCTCTACTGACAATCGATAATCCTAATTATAATAATAATCCTAATTAATAATAATTATAGTCAAAATTCAAATTTTGACTATCGAAATACTTTATATAAACAAATGGTTTTAAAGAAATCTGATTTATACATGATGCGGAAAACTAAATACCAATCATTTTATAAATCCAGTTTTGTAAAATTTACTTTAACATACACAATTCGATTTTCTTTAAGCCAATTTACTTGTAGAAAAGTAAATGCATTTCGCGCTTAGATGTTTATAGTTTTTCATTATCCCATCGAGTAGTTCATTAACCAACCATAAACTTGGTATCTGATTGGAATGGAACCAACCGTTGAGCCTCCTTTAAAGAGGAACATTGTGGAACAGGCCTTAAGCCGGCGGATGGCCGCAGGAAATTCGAGTTCTCTGCATGGTGCCAAATAAAAAGAGCCACAAAATCCATTAAGACACAGCCAGAGGCGGTGGCAGTGGTAAGAGTCCACTTCTTTTTGCCACCCACTGCATCACGCCACCATGGCCGAAACCCTTTTTTAAGCCGCGCATAAAAGTTACTTCCGTTGCTTGGCGGCGTCCGAGGAAAAAGGCTAACAAAACTATTAAAATGCCGGCGACACCATACATTATTTATTTCTTTTTCCAAACTCCAACTCCCTGCGTCTCCTCTTCTATTTGTTTACGGCTTTTCTGCCACTTTTTTCCAGGAGGGAAAGAGATGCTAGCCTGTCTGGCGGAAATAGAAATCCTTAAACAGAAAATTGCAAAATAAAATTTTCACTTTAGCCAAACAGTTTCATGTTTGTCCACATCCCAGTGGAGGCGGTGGAGTTGGGTGGTGAGTGCTGGGTGGGTGGCCCTCAGCTGGCCTTGCAACTCAGCCGCGCGTGTTGCCCTAATGACGTGCAACGCCGACTGTTCCTATTCCTCCGCTTTGCAGAGAGTTTTATTTCGCTTCTGGTTTGTTTTGTCCTCTGGTTTTTTTTTTTTGTTGTTGTTATTTTTGCTGCACATTTTTTGCTGGGCCCTCCAACTAAATGAGCATGTGGCCAGGACGAGGTCCTGGTCCTGGCCCAAAGGCTTCCCCGGCTGTGTGACAACTTTATTTCAGTTCAGTTTCCACTGCGGCTCGTGGCATTAAGTCGCCTTTTTGTATTTATTTGTTGCATTTCCGCTCTTTGCCTTTGGCCGGGCTTAGTCATTAGCCCGCCGGCATTGAGAAGGGTATTTAAACGGCTCCTAAATTTGTAAAGGGGATTACTGCACAGTAAAGGAAATTCGGTTAACACAAAACCCAAGATTAAGGCTATCAAACAGAGTTAATTTAGAGCCAGATGCAAGGTAGAATTACCTGCACGTTCCACAGGGATTCTTGCTTTTCTACTTTCCAGAAATTGTTTGCCTTTAGGTAAAATATTTTTGCAATGTAATATTAAATTTTTCTTTTTAGTTCGTTTCCCTCTCTCTATCTCTCTCTCTCTCTATTTGAACAGTAGACGGAGACCATCAAAATATTTCATTTAAATTTTTCCCCTTAATGAAAAAATTACAGCGAGAAGGGAATGAAATGGAAGCAAAAGGCAAAGAACAGAAAGCTCACAAGGACGACCGGCAATCACCTGAGGGGAGATGACAAGCGGCTGGCACTTAATTTAGGAGATTTACATAAAAGTGCCCGGCCAAGCAGCCAAAACTTGCCTATCGAGGCATGTGGCTGCAGGTGCAAGTCCCCGTCACCGCGAGGCATGCCTCAGGTTGAAACTTTCCACGGTGACAAAGTTCCCTTGCTTACCAAAAAAAAAAAAAAAAAAATGGCTGGGCATATGTTTCGGGTATGCTTTCGCCTTCGGTCTCGTTCTCGTTCATGGTCTCATTTTAATAAAAGCAGGAAATGCGCTTAAGCTATTAAAAAGTATTTAGAAAGTATTTTCGAGACAGCGGCGCCTGGGGGAGCAAAGTTTTTATTCCCGGCAGGTGGGAGTGGATCCGCTGCGAACTCATCAAGTCGGGGGAAAATAAAAAGCCAGTGCCAAGATAAATTACAAGTCCGCATGATTAATGATCGCAAATGGTCCACTGTCCTTGTCCCCATGAACTTTGCTTTCGCTCACAGGTATTTATAGAACTTTTCTGGCGCAGCTTTTTGGGGAATTTGGGAATCGACTTCAAATTGCATGGAAATGCCCGATTCAATTAAATTTAATTGATTTAATGCGCTTGAGGTAAGATGTATAACTAGAGTTTGATTGGGTTTTTATAAATCTTTAAACTGTTATTAAAAAAACCGAAATTGTAATAACATAAAAAAAAGATTTAATTTAGTTAAATATTCAATATAAGTCTTTTAGTAAATATGCTTCAATTTAAGTAATGGATAACTTAAATTTAGCTTAGTTTTTAATTCTAGTTTTTGTTCCGTTCTCTCATACATTCTTTTCATTTTTGGAAATTCAAGTAGAACGAACATCTACATACAGTCCTGCCAAAAACATCGTTTTCCCAAGAAAATGTTGAGACTTCGTTTAATTATAGCTTTGAATTCCAATATTTGCCACAAGCAAGAGCAAATATATATTTGGAAAATACAAACACACATATAATATATACCTCTAACCAAATGGCTATACTGCATTGACACAAAAAATTGTACAATGAAAACAAATGCAAACAAAGCCGGCGACACAGTCGCAAACTAAGAGCCGTGCAAGTTACAAGAAGCGCAAACGAAACTCTGGTGGGAAATCGGGGCGAAGGGTAAGGCAAATGACAACAAAGGAATTTTTCAATATTGCAGTGCGTTGCGTATACGCGCCGTCGGCCAAAACAAATAAAATTAAACAAAAGTGACAGCGAAGCGAACGTGAGGGACAGACAAGGGAAGCCCGAGGGGGGAGTGCAGCAAAGTGGAGGGAGGGGGGTAGGGAGTAGGGTGGCAGGTGGTCGTTGGTGGGTGGCAATAGTCAAGGATGTGGGCCAAGAGACTGTGGCAGAATTTGGCCATTTTCGGCAGGGAAACGGAAACAAAAGCGCAGGCGGAAGCAATTCATTTGTATATATGCGCCGTGTGTGTATTTGTACTTTAGTATAGTGCTATGTAAATTCGAAACAGAAATTTGCACAACATCTACACCAAATATGTAGGCAGCAGGTCCCCTTTCTAAAATGGCACAGCACCTTAAATTTTACTAAAGAAAAATTAAACAATTTCAATGAATTTTAGTTAGAAGTGTATTTGCAGATTTTCTTTGTAGATTTGTTAACAAACTAAGACTCTAGATCAAAAATAAATACTTGCCTCACTCAAAGTGCCAAACAAAGCAAATAGTACAAAAATAGCTAACTTAATTTAAAATCCCCATTGTACAAAATCAAATAAAATGTTTTCCTTTACTTTGTTAGATTTCATTTCAGGAAAGTTTAATTCAACAAAATCATAATAAAGCCTTTGCTCACTTTGTGTTCATTTGTAAACAAAACGACAAACGGCCTACTCGTGACCATGAAACTTAATTAACCAGCAATTATTTAGCCGCAATTATAATTAACCGAATATTGCCAACGATGCTGAATTTGTTGGCGAAATTCATTTAATTTTATTAAGACAGCACGCATGTACACGGAATGTTTGTGTATAGCTGTTGGAAACCAAAGTATTTTTAATTTCAAATTGCGCATTGTGGCATAAAATTGCTCGGTGCGTGCCAAATGAGCCCAAAATTGCGGTGCATATTCTCCAACCATTCGAAATATGATTTTTGCCAATTATATTTGTAAAAGTGCCAGCCAAACTTTTTAGTGCCCATGTGCGTGTGCCAACGTATTTAAATTTGATTAGATTCTGTGTACTGCCATTTAATTAGCCAGAAAACATTTGGCAAAAGAGCAACTTGTGTTGCGTTTTAGTTTTATGGAAATAGTGTTGGTTTCTTTTTGGTAACCGTAATAACATTTTACCTTTTCCACAGCTGCCAAAATTCGCATTATTATTATTGCACTAGCTTTGCACTAATTTTTCAATTACTTTTTCAGCTTGCACATATCTTCCTTTTATTCAGGTAATTTGGCTTTTGCTTTAAGTTTCGTTAGTTTTTAAATAAAAATGTTGCCGTCTATCGAAATTGTTATATTCTACGTTTTTAGCACCTGGCTTTAGGGTTTAATGACTTTCTTTTCCGCCTGAAAACTTTTCCCTTATCCATGGAATGTTATATTTCATTTGGACCCGTGGGATGGCACATGTCATTTATTTAAAGGGGTCAGTTTTAATAGCCCAAATTTAGGGCCGCACAAACGGTCATGCAACAGTGGAAATCAAAAACCAAAAGCCATAAACGACTTCGCAGCTAATCAAGCGAACCGAGAAAAACAACCAGAAAAATGCCCTAAAAATGAAATGCAATTCACAACCAAACTACAGTTTCGCAAACAGCCAGAAGCAGACTAGAAACGAGAGATGGTCAATATATGAGGGGCGGTACAGCAAAGGGGCGGGAAAAGCAGCCACGATGATTGATATCACTTGTCAATAATCCATAAAATGTTGATTTGTTCATTTTATTGTTTACATGCATCACAATTGTTGGCCACACCCCCAACCCCCACAAAACATGGAAAAGTTCTCTGTTTTCTGTTTTCCATTTGCCGCTTGCGTTTTTTTTTTGTTTTTTGCTGTCAACGGCAAAACACCACCACACGAACAGTTTGGTGCCTCCATCTTTGATTATCAAATCGCATGCAAGGCAGTTTTTTTTCACAAGTTCACATAAAAACACAGACGCATTTTTACCGCCTCTGTCGATGGCGACGCATTCATCAATTTAACAGCAGGACATTGGCAGCAAAAAAGAACTCTGATTATGTATTTCCAGAGATTTTTCGACAAAATTCTCGACGGGTTTGAGTAAGTTTGATTGGTGTGTAGATCTGTTTCACATTATTGCGCGTTTACGAGTCTGAATGGGTTTTCTGCCAGTTTTTTTCTTTAAAATGTTTCGTTCTATTAAATTCCTTTGAATTTATCGAAAGAATTGTTTAAATTAAATGTTTTTTCCTGTACTCTTATTTGTGATTATTATTTTTGCACTACC